GGTGGGGGGAGGGGCACAAGCAGGGAAAGAATATAATGGAAAGCGATGAGAAAGGCCCTTCCTGGGCTTCTGTGCACCATGAGCATCGTTTCCCTGCCCCCCCCCAGGAATTCTAACACTTTATTTATTTATTTATTTATTTATTTTTATTAGTGAATCACCGTGAGGTACAGTTACATACTTACAAACCTTCGTGCTTGCATTTCAATGTTCATACAATGATCAAATACCCATCCCTCCACCAGTGCCCATTTCCTACCACCAATGGTCCCAGCATCCCTCCTACCCCCTCCCCCCGCCCCCCGCCCATTTCCTCCACCCCCACCCTGCCTCTGTGACAGGGCATTCTCTTTTGTTCTCTGTCTCCTTTTGGGTGTTGTAGTTTGCAATAGAGGCATTGAGTGGCCATTGTGTTCGATCTATAGTCTACTTTCAGCCTGCATCTCCCATCCTGAGCAGGCCCTCCTAGCACCCTTTACTTGATGGTCCCTTCTCTATCGGAGCTGCCAGCATGTGAGGCCGGCTCCTAAGCTGTGGAGCAAACCTCCTGGTACTTATCTCTACTATTCTTGGGTGTTAGCTCCATTCGCGTCTTTGGGGTCTGCAATGCATCTCTTGTCTTCTCTGCTCAACATGTATGCGAACCTATGTTTTACTTTTAGGCAGGCAGGGGAGGGCAGAGAACTTTCTTTGTATTTGCAATTTTTCTGTTGGCATCAACTCAAGCCTTTCCTCATGCCAAAGTGGGGTATTGGGACATTGTATGACGTTTTCAATTGCAACAGAGTTACCTCAAGAGGACAGGGAATGATTGCAATGTATCTAGCAATAGAGGCTCCTTTTTGATGACCATGAACTTCAAACTTACTGCAGGTGTAAAGTTCGGGGCCGTTGTACCTGCTCTGAGTTTAAACACACAGACTACACTCATACACAAATGTACACACACAAATGCATACACCGCATATGCATATGTACATACAACTTCATCCATATGCAAATGCACAAATGCACACACACATGTGAATGCATACACGTACACACATGCACACTTCCTTTCAACTCTTACATGGCATCTTTGTCTCTGCTGAGAGGGATTTTTCCCTGCAGCCTGAATGGTAACAATTCCTAGTGGACAAGGAATCAGTAGGCAAGGAAGGAAACATTTTTAGAAAGGAAGCATCTTGATTCAAATTTCCCAAAGAGCATTTAAAATTCCAAATTCACTCCTTTCCAAGTGGGGTATGTACCTGGGTCACCAGACACTCCATCTCATCTCGCTGTCCACTCTTCCCGGAGGCACCTGTGTCACATCTCATCTGGATCACTCCCTGGAGAAGCCCTTGGTTCTCAGGCACATCCAGGCCTCCTGACCTTCACTCAGTGCTTTCCAGTTTTCTCCCTGAACTCTGCTGGTATTTACACCAATCCTCCTTACCTGGGGACACACTGTGAGCTCTCTATAAAGAGGAACTAAATAGAGTCTTGGAGGCCTTATGCCACCAGCCCCAAGGAATTCATGTCTTTCCTCTGAGCCTTGTTCAGAGTTGGCCTCACTGCATTCAAGGTCACTGCTGTGGGGATATGGTGCTGCCAACAGGTCAACTTATACCTGCGGGGCAAGTGTATCAGCAGTCTGATGGTGTCTTCAGGCTTCCTGATACCCCCAAATTGCTGCTGTGCCTTTGGCCAGACCCCAACAACTTGGGGCCAAATTTACCAAGAAATTAAACTGCCAAAAGTTAGGTATGTGGAAGCCTCGCCACAAACCACTTCTGGCTCAGCTATACAAGCTCATTTCATGGCCTTATTTCAGAGACTCATAAATAAATCTTGAGAGATCAGAAGCCGCAGTTAATCTTGGACCCATACATGGCTAAACAGACTAGGGTAAATCGGAGGGGGGGAGGGTTGGCCTGTGCCTGCCCAAGCAGAGCCACCAGCAGCCGCTTGCTTCCACAATCCAAAAGTTCTGCCATACCCTCGGCCTGACTCCACTGTCTCAGGATGGACCTCACCAAGATACAATTTGTTGAAAATTTTGGCATGCAGGTTTTGTGACTGAAATCTCTAGGCTTTCTCGGAGTTGGGGTGGGCTACCTCCCCACACTTCCCAATACCTCTGAGAGCACTGGCAGTCAACCCATGAACCAACTCCAGCACCACCATGTAAACTCTACTACCAGTCTTGCTTCAGGGACCCATAAATAAATCTTGAAAAAGAAAAAAAAAAAAGAAAGTCACTGCTGTCCTTTCTGAAGAACAGGGAAAGAGTGGCCTTATGTAGGTGGAGAACCTACATAAGCCTCTTCCCCTTTTCTCCCTGCCCAGCAAGGAAGAAAAGAAGTGACAAAAGATGTCTGAGGTGCCAAGTTTGTGGGCCATGGGATGCACTGCCCAGCAGCCGTTCCTGCGAGCCTCCAGTTATTCATGGCACCAAAGCCCCAGGAGAGGCTGGAGGGACAGTCCAGCAGCGAAGGCACTTACCTTGCATATGGTTAATCCTTTTTTTTTTCCTCTTTTGGGTCACACCCAGTGATGCTTAGAGGTTACTCCTGGCTCTGTACTCAGGAACTACTCCTAGTGGTGCATGGGGGGCCATATGGGATGCTGGGGATTGAACCCAGGTCAGCCACATGCAAGGCAAACGCCCTACCTTTTGCTATTGCTCCGGCCTCGCATATGGCCAACTGGGTTTGATCCTCAGTGGGTGTAAGCACCTCCGGGAGTGATTCCTGGGCCCCTCCATGTATGACTCCAAAGCAAAATAAGAATAATCATTTAAAATAGAGAGAGAGATTCCATGAACTTTTATGAAGCCCACAAGTCTCTTTCCATTGATTCCAACCAAAGTGAATAAACAAAGACCGACTGAGGTGAGCACTGGGCTCATGCCATGCCCACAGGCACCAGGACAGTTCCTGGTTAGCATGGCAGTTCATGATGGGCCAAGTGAGGTCAGGAACACAGACCTCAGGTGTCTGGGATAAGCAGGGAAGGCAACAGTCTGAAATCATACTGTCAAAGACAGTGTGAAGAGCCAAAGACGAGGAGCTTCTTCCCCCTGTGGAGATTCACTCCCCCAGCCTATGGGAGTGAGTGTCTTAGCTACTTTCTTTCCCTACAATAAATGCATTATTCCTATCTGGGTACTCATGTCTTCTATCTTTCAAATTTGGGGGGTGTTGGAGCCATACTCAGCGATTCTCATAGTTACCCCCACTCAGCGCTCTGAGGTCACTGCTCCGGGACCATTGTATGGCAGGGATGGACATGGGGGTGACTTCAAGCCAGGCATGTGCCTTAACTCCCAGATTACCCCATCCAGCCCTCCCTTACTTAAAAAACAATGTTGGCTTTCATTATTTTCTGCTCTCCGTGAAAATGCTTGGTTTTTAAAATTTTGTTGTTTTGGGACCACATCTGGTGGTGTTCAGAGCTTCTTCCTGGCTCTACTTCTTCCTGGGCTTTGGGGGATCATATGTGGTATGGGGGATCTGACCTGGGTCCAACATGTGCAAAGCAAGTGCCATTCCTGTTGTGTTATCTCTCTGGCTTTGTGAAATTGTTCCTGAGGAGACGCAAGAATCAGGGAGGGGGGAGGGGGGTGGGGGTTGGGGGCTGTGCATGCTGGGTGAGAACCCACACTTGTTCATACTTTATCAGCATGAGTTGAGAAAGGTCGTGAGCAACTCCTTAGCCAGGGGCTCTAGACCACCATGGTCCACTGTTTTCTCTCACCTCCTCAGTCTTCTTTGTTTCTGCATCCCTAAAGAAAGCTTTCTGCCAAGCACAGCTCCAAATCCTGAACTCCTTCTCCAAGGCCAGCCTCCAAATAGTCCCTAAGCCTCCACCCTCAGGGCCTGCATTTCAGGCTCCTCAGAAGAGGCTCAATTCTTGGGATTCTTTAGGGAGCAAGATGGTGGCTTCCCCTGTAGCACACCTTCTGCTTCTCTTTCTTCTCTCCTGTCTTCCTACGCTGTATTCAGTGGTCTGGAGGCCACTTCTGGAAATACTCTCAGCCAGAAGGTTCCATGCTGCACCCTGGCAACGCAGTGCTGCTTGGGCACTCAGGGCCACATCTGGCAGTGCTAAGGATGGTGTCTAGGATGCAGTGCTAGAGACCGAATTCAGCACTTAGCACATGACATGCATGCACTCCTAATCCCTGAGCTATCCCTCCCACCCCTTGCAGCCCGGTTCTTTGTTTTCTTCAGTCACTTCTTCTGTCTGCCTTCAGCCGCTGGTCTGTGCACTGCTTCACTGCACCGCCAGAGAATGAGGGATCAGTCTAGTGCAGGTCACAGGGCAATACAGATGTGCACTCTGGTCTTCCAGCAGCCTGAGGGAGTGGACATGGGGCACTGCACGTATAGTTCAGGGTCCTTCTCTAGTTCTGGAACCAGCCTCTGAGCCATCCTGGTGCAGAGGGACTGTGGAGTGTCCTATTCAAGCCCTTCATTCTCCCAGCATTGGGAGTTTCTTTAATTTCCCCATCTGGGCGTGGAACACTGCCCATGAGTCATAGCATGTATTGTTCCCTGCACTCTGGCTACATTTTAATGAAGCCTAAACTCTGATCCTGCAATCGGCTGAAACTTTGGAAGCTAAGCTGAAACCCTCTTTAAACTCAAAATAAAACTCAAGTCTCTGTGCAAGGCTTGGCTCATATTAGCCCAGACAGCTAGATTCCACACTCCTTTGCCCAGTTAAATTATTTCAGTGATTTCTTTGTAGGCAGTGTTTGTCTTATCAAACACGAATGCCAGGTTCCTACTCCAGGAAAACTGCAGAAATATTTGAGAGTCTACAAAACAGAAATATTTGAGGATTCTCAAAAACAGAGTAATCACCCAAAGCTTTGAGGAGAATTCCTCAAAGATTTGAGGATCCTAAAACAAGGTGAGAAAATCCCAATCCAATCCCAATGTTTCCGTTGAGGCATGAACATACTGCCAATGATTGCTGACTGTAATTAGTTTGATTTTCATTCTTTCTAGTTCTTCATGAACACACCTCGTGTCTTTAAAACTATCAGATGAACCACTTCTCTGATGACAAGTCTTGCAAATTCACTGTGGACACACAGGTAAGTCTATTATAATTTCTGGAGAGATTTCTTCATGATATTTATTAATGTTTTTCTGATTTATTCAAAATCTCTTTTTATAACTGGAAAGAGAGGACAAGGATTAAGGCACTTGCCTGCCACATGGCAGAGCCCAGTTCAATGTCCAGCACTAAATATGGTCTCGTGAGCACCACCAGCTGTCACGCCTGAGTACAGAATGAGAAAGAGTCCCTGAGCACCACTGGGTTTGACCTGGCCTCCCTCAATCCCCAAAATATCTGTAGCCTAGGCTGGACAGCTGGCTCAGAAGGCTGAAGTGCATACTGTGTGTGCAGAAAGCCAGTGCCATCTGGTCGAACACCTCTGGGAGCTACCGAGAACTGCTGGGTGTGGCCCCCAAACTAACCAAATAAATAAAAATAAAATATCGTTATAGCCTGGTACTTAGTAGAAAGACTCTACAAAAAAAAACATGAACCAATCAGTCATTCAATTAAAACTTGTTTGGATATGGAATAAATTTAATATTTTCTTTCCTTAGCAGCTTGTTTCTTCAACTCTCACTTTAGTCATAATATTTAGTGACGTTCTTTGGTTTGTTTTGGTTTGGGGGTCCCACCCAGTAGTACCTTTGGGTCACTCTTGGCAGTGCTCAGGGACCATGAGTAGTGCCAGGGATCAAACTGAGGTCAACTGCATGCAAGGCAAGGGCCTAATGTAGGATAACATTGGTTTGTCCTTTCTCCCTTCCTGCGGGGAGGTTAGGTTTATTGGGTTACACCCATCACAGTGTTCCCGAGGCACTCCCATTCCTCTGTGTTTATATTTAACCTCTCCTCTATGCTCTGCTTCCCCAACTGGTCAATCACCTTTATCCCCAAATTAGGCTTGTGACTTGTAAGGTCAGATCTTTCTAAGGACTCTGAATTTTGTATTTGTAAGTGAAATATTGCTTTCCTCTTTCCCTTATGTTCTTTGCAGTTTGCTTTAGAGCAATGTCCTTTTAGTATAGACACAGGAAAACAGTTAATGCTATGCTTTGGTAACAGGAGTTAATTGATTCTGAATAATATTTACTAATGGACATCTGTTATACTTACTCGACTTAAGCCTCTGTTGCTCGTAGTTCCTAGCACTCCAAAACCAGAGTCCCGACGAAGGGACTGGATGGATCCAGGGCAAGCAGTAAGCTACCCTGGCATCAGAATGGGACAGGCCAACTGCCATGAAACTTAAAAGTTAAGAGCATGGTCCTGGATAAATTCTGTCATGCCCCAGTGACTGAACAAGGACCCTGCTAGGGTTAGGAAAGACTAATCTGGCCTGAGGGCTATGGTCTGCAATCTATAAGGAGATATCCCCAGGAGAGCCACCCTATAAGATCAATATAGCTCTTACTGTGTCCACACAAAAGACTAGGAAGATTATTAAGATGTAAGTAAATCTAAGATGATTGTTTATGGACTAAGGAAAGGAGAAGTATGTCCTTAGGTGAGATTCTGCCCTTGAATGGTTCTCCCAGGAGATCTTTGTCTTAGAAGAGCTTCCCCAGAAGGAAGGGGAACATATCTTGACTGTGCTACCTCACCAGGGTGTAGTTGCTACTCCCAGTGCTTGGAGGTTGGGCTCTAGACTAAGGCTTCAAGACTGGGCGAGGAGCGACAAGCCTGGGGGATGGGAGGAACACAGGTGGGCGAGACTAGAAGGAAGCAGAGGGAGACAAAATTGGAATAAACTGACTGATCACCAAACAGCCTCGCCACCCCTCCTCCATGCATCTGTTGGTGGTGGCTGCAGGCCGGGGTGAGGATGGGGCTCATGGCGCCCAACGCACGTGCTGGGGGAGAGCCCGCTGTTGCTCATTTATTTCTTGAATACACAGCCTTGCCTGTGGTACTATTCCTCCTGCCCCTATTTAGTTACTGCTTAAGAAAAAAAATCTTAAAGAACAGTGAATTTTTTCAAACTGGTCTTTATTTATTTTTTTCAAAGTCAAAATATAAGTATGAGGTGATTTGTTTTATTTTTAAAATTTTTAATTTTTAAAAACTTTTTATTAGTGAACCATTGTGAGGTACCGTTACAAACTTATGAACTTTGTGTTTGCATTGCAGTCATACAATGATCTTTTACCCATCCCTCCACTAGTGCCCATTATCCAGACCAAACTCGATGGCCACTCCATACCTCTATTGCAAACCACAACACCCAAAAGGAGAGAGCGAGAGATGAAACTGGTCTTTAAATAATCCATATCATCCTTTGCACTAAATAACCGGTCAGCTCAGATCTGTTTCTCCTGTCTGGCCACTGTTCTCTATTGAGTGTCTATGATTTCTAACTGGGGCACAACCAAATAATAAATGCAGAATGTTTTAAAAAAAATACTCCTTAAGAGCCAGAGAGATAGTACAGGGGATAAGGCATTTGCATTGCATGCAACTGACCTGAGTTGGGTCCCTGGTACCACCTATGACCCCCGAGGCCTGCCAGAAGTGATCCCTGAGCACAGAGTTTGGGAAAAAACATAGGCAAGTCTGGATGTGGCCTAACTGCTCTCCCCCAAAGGGCAATGCATGCAGTATGTGCAGAAAACCAGCATGTAAATTTTTATTAATTGTGGGGAGGTGACTGGAATCAAACCTGTGGCCTTATACATGTGAATCACACATTCTCTCACTAAATTATATATTCTATCCCGTAAAACACTTTTGAAGTCTGGATAGTACATGAGTTGAAACATTTGCCCTGCCTTGGGGAATTCCAGTTCCCCCTCCTTCACTGAGGTTCCCCAGCCGGACCCTCAAGCCAACACCATCCCTTGAGTATACCAGGTACAGCTACTATTGTGTGAAAGTGGATTTATTCCTGAACTTGTGGGTTCTTGAGATTGTATGAAAGAATTGCAGACAAAACTCAGGAACTTGAGAAGGTACAGTTTATTATATATCTCAAATAGATGGTCCGGGCCCCCCAGTGTCCAGATCTCTCCTTGTGTATGATGTCACTCATCCTGTTACTTGATATGTGGTCCAGTGTACGACGTCCTGGTCCTGTCCCTTAGTACCTTCCTGATAACATGGGACTGGGAGAGGAATTCAGGACCTTGTACCTGCAAGGCATGTGCTCCTGCCCCTGAGCTATCTTCCTGGCCCCAGAAAATTTGAAAATAATTTACCCTTTTGAGCCAGAGAGATAGTACAGCAAGTAGGGTATGCTCAGGGATCACTCCTGGCAGGCTCGAGTAACCATAGGATGTGCTAAGAATCAAACCCAGGTCAGACATGTGCAAGGAAGTGTCCTGCCTGCTGTACTCTTGTTCCAGCCAAATCATAGAAATGTTTTTCTCAGAAATCCTCAGTTTTTCTGTCAGAGTTAGCACCCATAAGTGAAGGACCTTCACACAATCTTTCATCCTTCTATTTCCTTCTGGATGGGAAAAGCATTATTTTATCTATAATATATTTAGCAAGCTACTGAGAATATCCAGCCCACATGGCAGAGCCTGGCAAGCCACCTGTGATGTTCCAAATATGCCAATATCAGTAGCTAAAATGGTCTTATTTCCCTAACCCTGAAGGAGTCTCCAGCTGAGTTGGGAAGAACAAGAGGGCTTGTACTAAACAAATGGCACGCACGTCAACAGGCGGAAATGTGCCCCGCAAGTATCTGGCCACCAAGGTGGCCCACAAGAGCAGCACCAGCCATGAGTGGTGTGAAGAAGCTGCACCGCTACTGACCCAACACCATGGCACTACGCGAGATCCGCCAGCTACTGTTCCAGCGACTGGTTCGAGAGATCACGCAGGACTTCAAGACCGACCTGCACTCCCAGAGCTCAACTGTCATGGCGCTACAGGAGGCAGGCGAAGCCTACCTGGTGGGGCTCTTCAAGGACACCAACCTCTGCGCATTCCCCGCCAAGTGCATCACCATTATGCCCAAGGACATCCAGCTGGTGTGCTTCATCCATGGAGAGAGAGCATAAAGTTTATGATGCTAAACTCTCAGGGCTGGGACAAATGGAGATGCTACTGGTGCCTGCTCGAGTAATCGATGATTAATTGGATGACAGTGACAGTGACAGTGATCACAAATCACAAATCATCCTGTTATTCGTCGATTGCCTCGAGCAGGCCCCAGTAACGTCTCCTTCATCCTAGCCCTGAGATTATATTCAAGGCTCTTTAGGAGAATGAGACCCATCATAGTTACTGGTATTTGGCATATTGGGTATGCCACAGGGAGTTTGCCAGACTCTGCCGTGTGGGAAGGCTACATTCGGTAGCCTGCCAGTTTGTCCAAAGTAGGAATGAGATAATAAGATGTCATAATAAGATGTCGCACGGCCGCAAATGCGGCCGCGCTGTTCTGGGAGCTGGTTTTTATAGTCTCTGAGTCTTGGCCGTTGATGGGATTACACGGCGCCAGGGGGCCAGTTGGTGGGTGTGACCCCCGACTACTGGAATTTGGAGGATCTGGGTGGAGGATGCTCAGCCCAAATCCGAGTAGGCTTGGAGATCTCGGTCCCAGAACCCGCGTGACTTTGTCCCTCTGCCAGTACCTTCATGTGTGCGGAGAAAGTGATATTTAGCTAAATATTTTTCAACATTACTTTGTTAAAAATAAATAATCAAATTTACTACTTACTATATTATATTACTTTTTATCTAAGTTACATTAGTCTATAGTTTTAAAACTTGGTATAATCAAGGGAAATACAAAACAAAATAGCATTAAGAATGGAACACATCTGTATTTAGAATGGTCACTAATAAAATCTGGACAAAATCATAAAAAAAAGAATGGATCACATCAAAAAGACTGAAAACAGTCTGTACTGGTGGGATTGAGATGAGAAAGGAAAATGTATATTTAAAATTAATTAATTTTAAATTAAAAATTAAAGTTAGGAGTAGAACTCCCATAAGATCCAGATATACCATTTCTTGACATCTATCCCCCATACACAAAAATTAATTAAAAATTAAAATTAAAATACAGGAGTTATTTAATTA